TCCTCGTCTCCCTAGCTGATATATTTTTTTTTGTATCAGCCAAGTCTAGCTCCAACGCTTTAGTAATGATAGCCGATAACTGGGTTGTTTTCGGCGGAACCTTTTTCTGCAGTTTCCCTTTCAAGGTCGGACTTCGAAGGTGATCAATAAACAAATCTCGAGCAGATTTCTCGTCTCGCCCGGATTTATCCAATGTGGTTTGAAATCGATCTACGAAATCGGGTAACAGTTCCCCTGATCCTTGGGGTCGATTTTTGAGTACGTACCAGGCGGCATCTTCGCTAACTGTGTCGAATCGAGTCAAAAATGCATGCTTAAAAGTTTCCCAATCTACCCATGTATGCTTTCTGAACCAGTCGTGCGATGTATTGCGGAGTAGTAAGGTCAGAACACGGGGAAGATCGGCTCCGCTGTAGTTTTGAGCTTCGACAGCTTCCAGCCAAGCCTCGGGATGGGTATGGTTGGGGAAGAAGGGGAAGGGGGAAGGGATGCTAACGATCACCTTAGTACCGTCCACCATTGGTATTGCTAGCGCAGTCGCACTAGATTGAGACCTGGTCACGGGGAGATCTCGACGAGCTAGTGGAGGGTCTCTCCTACCTCTCGCCAGTTTTTACTTACTATCATCAGAACCGACACGTGTCGGCTCCGATACCAACCTCACGCCCTGTGCTGTCTTCCGTTCGGAGTGTTAGCTGTGCGGAAAAGAGGCCCAGAAAAACAGCAAGATGGGGTGTGCCAAGGATTTTTGAAAATTGAGTGTGGGGACACAGACGGAACTGAAATCCCCAGTGTTGGTCCGATGGAGCAAGTCAATCGTTTTCGCGCGTCGCGGAATGCGCGCGCGAGCAAGGCGGGAAGAGAGGGAAAGATCCAAATTCAATCCCAAAAGTATCGTCGTGCCTCCCACTGGGCTACAGCCCGTCGTTTAGAACAGAAAGGCTTGGGCACGCTTCGCGTGTCACGTTTTCGTATCAAGTCTCGTCGTCGTTTGCTGGTTAGTTCCGAGTCTGACGTGAAGGGTCTCAGTCACATGACTCTTTCTTTATGCTCGTTTTCACTCCGCACACGGTAGTGGAAACCCCTGGACTCATAGCGCTCAAAACGCTGACATTCGGTGCACAGAGTGCGCGGCCAGTGGGGTTCTACTGCCGTCCACGGAATGACGATCAACTCGTTAAATGGCAACAATACCGAGTAAGGTGGGAAGTGCGTATCGATAATAACAAACCCGGCTTCTACGAACCCTGAACAGCGGTTGGCCGGAGGGAAGTAATACTGCCCGCCGATTTGTGCAACGGCTTCTCGTACGTCCCACTCACATACACGTGTCCTTTCCTCACTGTAAGGAAAAGGTCGCGTTGGATACGGGAGGCTGGCGCCCAATCGAAGGGTACTTGTCAGTCCACATGTCAATCAATCATAAAATATCCTTAGACGTTATTAAGAACAAAAGCGATTCGCGCGTCCCCCAATCAATCTTTTTGGCACAAGAGAGAGAGAGCAAACACAAATCAGCTTGATCACGCATATGGCTACGGGTCCGATCAGTTCAACACAATGTTGGTCTCTGGGCGCCTTGTTTCTTAGCGCCGCCTCGTGGCTCGACTGCTGATGTCGTGCAGCATAAGGCAGATGGCATGCGCAGTGCAAACAGAGCTACAGATCTAAACACTCTTGCATTCTCGAACAAAATCCCGATGACAATCGTCTAATCAACAAAAGATTCACACATTCCATACATGCATTCACTGTAGAAGGTGCGAAAATGAGACATGCAGAGGAAAAAAATGGATCGCATTACTCAGTACACACGCATCCACCGTTCACAAGACAAGAAGACAGGGTCCTTGCGTAGGAGGATTACCCAGGAAACTAATGGAAGAGTTCTGGAAGAAGTTCTTT